TTCTATATAGACTGTAAGGGGAAAGGGATGTGATTTTAATGCCTCTGTTGTAAAAGCTGATGACGGATTTCTCCATAATGGCTACAGTTACAGCTCATTCGGAATATTTAAATACTTTGTTGCACATAGTATTGGCACAGGTTCACTTTGGTTGCTAAGGTAATATATTGTAGGGGTTAAGTCTAAGAAGTTTGGTAAGGGTTCATTAGTGTTAGATCTTTTCTTTTGGAAAGTAAGTGGTATTTTATTATTGTAGATAGTTTTCAGTATTATATTTCCTCTACCAGGAAGTAAAAGGGATGGGCAATGAGCACTAAAAATGAACATACCACAAAAACAAATATTCTGAGACCAGGTATTATGTTATTGTGCTGGGCAGCCAGCCTTATTTTCTTTCTTTTTCCAGCAATGGAAGCCTTTTAACTTTTATTTACTAGCTCATGGAAAACACCATTGTACAATGAAATTAAAACTGTTTAAGCTTCTAGGGGCTTATTGATTTGAGCTGAAGAGCTTCTGGTTTGGTAAAAAATTATTTAATATCTGTAATATGATTATTACAATAATACAAACATGAAACATTTTAAGCATAGTAAAGATATGCACTTGTACAACACCAACATAGAATAAATTTCTGATCTAAATGTATAGAAAAAATGGTTGTTACAGCTCCTGGGTAAATGAGATTAGTTATCCAATAAAATACCTTGTGCTATACTCTGTTACTTTGAATATTTTGCCTCATCACTCTTATATTTTAAATATAAGTCAGATAAGCCACACATAAAGTATGCGCTCTTTGAAAAATGCTCTTTTTCCCCCTTGGACTTTTTTACATTATAGAGCTGTACAAATCAGTCAGATTAATGCTGCTGCATTGGTCAGCATATAAAATAACATGTCAGCAGAGGACATGATGTACAATGTATCACTATAATTTGGAATTCATAGCACTTTAACACCTGTTTCCATAGTTACTGTGTTATCCAGACATTGGAGAGGATGGTTTACTTTTCACAAGTCTTTCATTTCAGGAAATAAATTAAAAATGCTAGTGACTTGTCCAGTATAAAATATAAAAAAGTATAACATTTCCTTCAAAGTGTTTTGGACAAATTGCACACAATTCTAAAGAGATTAATAAAATGTGGAAATCAAGATACTGAAACCTTTATGAAAACTTGTTTGACAAATTTTGCAATAGGTATTATTTTTGTCCTACAGTTTTAATAAATAGCATTTGCTTGTTGTATGCAGTTATAATGTTTACAGTTGACATTTTATAACCTGAAATAAATTTGCTAACTTCTCCTAAGCAATTTTCACAACATAAAAAGTTAATTGTAAATGAATTGCATATCAAATAACCTCAAATAAATCAACCATTAAATAGAATGTCCCATATTTACGACTGTGTCCAACACTCTAGGGGACTAAGGTAATCTTGTACATATTGTAATAAAATCCTGGAGCCAGGTAGCACAATGATTTGGTCAGGCTGCGTTGGTTGCTTGCAATTTCATTATTTTAGGTAAACATTATGCTGCAATATGTTTATTGTGTTTTACTTAGACGAGCCTCTACTTATTTCCTTTTTGATCCAGAAATGAGCTTTGAACCCTTTGCTGCAGCTAAGCAGCAGAGTTGATGTGCATCAGAGCTCCACCAATATAAAGGCATTAGCATGGAGAAGCTGTTATTATAAGAGGACAAAAAAGTCCTCCAGTTGCCACCATGTGATGGTGTTGCATTACAGGCCACTGGACACAGATGCAAAATTCTGAGTATTTCAGAGAGGTTTGTGCAGCCTTGAGGGACAAAAAGTTGGTTTCAGACACTTTGATTTGCAGGTATGTCCTAACATGCAGCTTATGATTGTTACAGGTGCTGCATTGGGATGATGATTAGAACATTAGTAAAATAAATTTGCCCATTCAGTCCAGTTGGGTGACTGAAGGTCCCCTGGAAGAAAGAGAGATTTTCAGTCAGGGGGTTAAGTTAGTACACCTAATCTGCATCTAAAGACAAAAACAAAAATATAAGAAATTGCAGCTTAATTGCTTAATACTTTCTGTGGGTAAAGGATACTTACCACAAGGACGGGTTCCCTTTTTTAATAGGAAGGTCATTGAAAGGGTTCCTGTCCTGTGAGTTATACTGAAAAATAATGTATTTTTGGAAATCCCATCATAGAGATATTATAGGTATATTTTTTATATAAGAAATTCAGAATGACAGTTTCACTGCGGCTGGCCAGTTCTGGGAGGGTGTCATATGACATCCTCCCAGAACACGCTCTCCTGCGCACCCCGAGGGGCGCGAACCCGGTGATCTCCATGATCGCTGTGTCCTATGGACACAGCTGATCACATGATATGGTAAAAGGCAAATCGCAGCAGCCTTTTACCATGTGCTTAGCCATGTCCAATGACACACTGATCACTGGGAAATGCAATTGATGGTTATTGCCAGCAGTGCCACCCACCTGTGCTCATCAGTGCCCAGCAGTGCCACCAACCTGTGCCCATCAGTGCCAACCAGTGCCACCCACCAGTATCCATCAGTGCCGCCCAGCAGTGCCACCCATCAGTGCCGCCCAGCAGTGCCACCCATCAGTGCCCACCAGTGCTGCCAGTCAGTGCCCAGCAGTGCCGCCAGTCAGTGCCCTCAGTCAGTGCCATCAGTGCCAGCTCATCAGTGCCACCTATCAGTGCCGCCTATCAGTGCCGCCTATCTGTGCTGCCTATCAGTGCCCATCAGTGCCACCTATCCGTGGAACCTCATCAGTGCCGCCTATCAGTGTGAATCAGTGAAGGAGAAAAATTACCTGTTTACAAAATTTTATAATAGAAACAAAGAAAAACTTTTTTTTTAAATTTTTTGCTCATTTTTTTGTTTATAGCGCAAAAAATAAAACACCCAGCGGCAAGTAAATACCACTAAATGAAAGTTCTATTTATGTGAAAAAATTATAAAAATGTCATATGGGTACAGTGTTGCATGACCACGCAATTGTCATTCAAAGTGCGACAGCGCTGAAAGCCTAAAATTAGCCTGGTAAGGAAGAGGGTATACTGTAAGTGCCCGGTAGGCAATTGGTAAATACTTCCTGCCCAGAAGCATTTATAAAAGGCCTTGGCAGCAAGCCATTATACAACAGCCATGATCCTGGTAGTGTTTTTTTCAGCCAGGATTTGGCTTTCTAGTAAAAATTATCTGAGCTGCTTTACAGCGCATGGAAGGGCTCCCCTCCTACCGCAACCCACCACCATTCCCAGAATCTCCAGTTCCACCAGGGAGAAAGCCCAATCTCCAGTCAATTAAGTTGTCACTGACATTCTATTGAATCGTCCCCCCTGCTACTGTACAGCGCTGAGCATACCCATTGGCGCTATATAAATACTGTATAATAATAATATATGGTTACCGACATTATTTACAAGTTACACAAGTTGAGGCCTAGTTCACCCGGCCTGTTAGCAAACACATCTCCAGCATAATCCAGTCATTAGAACCAACTGCAGTGTCCGCTGTTTCCTCTGCAATTGGTCTGCATCCATCAAGAGGGACACTTGTGATTGTAGCCCTTTGCTACTGCGGCTTAGAGAGGAATTAACCCTTTGCCAATAAGTGCTTTTGCCCACCCTTTAAACCTCTTGCTTAAAATATGCATCTCATCTTCTGCTATTTCACAGGCATAAGCAATTTTGTTTTGTGGTACAAAAAAGGTTGATTGATGCAAAATTAACACATACTTACAGAGTAAGTAATTAACAAATACTTACAGAGTATTGATTTCTGAGAGTATAAAAAATAGCAGGAACGCTAGAGTGCAAGATGTTCAGTAAGCAATTTAATAAAATGTTGTACATAATTTCACAATTTTGGTATATAGCCGAATGATGGCATGTGCAGTTTTAACAACCTTGACTTGTTTAATATCTATTTACTTGACATGATATAATTTTTTACATCTTACCAGAACATTGAGTATTATATTATGCTTGTGTGCATTAAAATTCATTTAGGACAGCGGTTCTCAACCTGGGGGTCGCGACCCCTTTGGGGGTCGAACGACCATTTCCCAGGGGTCGCCTAAGACCATCGAAAAACACATATTTCCGATGGTCTTAGGAACCGAGACACCTCTCCTGTCTCCGGCGATGTGTGGGCGGGATGATATGCTGCCCCTGTCACCGCCTCCTCGCCGCTGATTGGCCACCGGAACTGTAGCTCAGGAGAGGCACACAGGCGGCCAATCACCGGCGAGGAGGTGGAGCTTGGAGAGGAGGAGCCAAGCGGCAGCGCGCGTAGATCAAAGAAGATCGAGGGAGCTGCAGGAGCGAGTGAAGAGAGAGGCCAGAGAAGGAAGACAGCTGACAGGTACGTGCAAATTTTGCTGCTGCAGCCAGGTATGCAGGCTGTAGATGGGAGAGGGAGAGAGCGAGCCCAGGCTGGAGCAGGAGTCAGCAAGGTAAGTATCATTGGTGTCAGTGGGAGGGATAGTGCCCCATCATTTGTGTCACTAATACCAACGATGGGGCACTATTCCTCCCCCCACTGACACCAACGATGAGACACTATTCCTCCCCCCACTGACACCAACGATGAGACACTATTCCTCCCCTCACTGACACCAACGATGAGGCACTATTCCTCCCCTCACTGACACCAACGATGGGGCACTATTCCTCCCCTCACTGACACCAACGATGGGGCCTATTCCTCCCCTCACTGACACCAACGATGAGGCACTATTCCTCCCCCCACTGACACCAACGATGAGACAGTATTCCTCCCCTCACTGACACCAACGATGAGGCACTATTCCTTCCCCCACTGACACCAACGATGGGGCTCTATTCCTCCCCTCACTGACACCAACGATGGGGCACTATTCCCCCCCCCCACTGACACCAACGATGGGGCACTATTCCTCCCCCCACTGACACCAACGATGGGGCACTATTCCTCCCCCCACTGACACCAACGATGGGGCACTATTCCTCCCCCCACTGACACCAACGATGGGGCACTATTCCTCCCCCCACTGACACCAACGATGGGGCACTATTCCTCCCCCCACTGGCACTAACAATGGGGCACTATTCCTCCCCCCACTGGCACCAACGATGGGGCACTATTCCTCCCCCCACTGTCACCAACGATGGGGCACTATTCCTCCCCCCACTGACACCAACGATGGGGCACTATTCCTCCCAATGACACCCACAATGGGGCACTATTCCTCCCACTGACACCCACAATGGGGCACTATTCCTCCCACTGACACCAATGATGGAGCACTATTCCTCCCCACCACTGACACCAACGATGGGGCACTATTCCTCCCCCCACTGACACCAACGATGGGGCACTATTCCTCCCCCCCCACTGACACCAACGATGGGGCACTATTCCTCCCCCCACTGACACCAACGATGGGGCACTATTCCTCCCCCCACTGGCACTAACAATGGGGCACTATTCCTCCCCCCACTGGCACCAACGATGGGGCACTATTCCTCCCCCCACTGTCACCAACGATGGGGCACTATTCCTCCCCCCACTGACACCAACGATGGGGCACTATTCCTCCCAATGACACCCACAATGGGGCACTATTCCTCCCACTGACACCCACAATGGGGCACTATTCCTCCCACTGACACCAATGATGGAGCACTATTCCTCCCACTGACACCAATGATGGAGCACTATTCCTCCCACTGATACCAATGATGGGGCACTATTCCTCCCACTGACACCAATGATGGGGCACTATTCCTTCCACTGATACCAATGATGGGGCACTATTCCTCCCACTGACACTAATGATGGGGCACTATTCCTCCCACTGACACCAATGATGGGGCACTATTCCTCCCACTGATACCAATGATGGGGCACTATTCCTCCCACTAATGCCAATGATGGGGCACTATTCCTCCCACTGATACCAATGATGGGGCACTATTCCTCCCACTGATACCAATGATGGAGCACTATTCCTCCCACTGATACCAATGATGGGGCACTATTCCTCCCACTGACACCAATGATGGGGCACTATTCCTCCCACTCATACCAGTGATGGGGCATTATTCCTCCCACTGATACCAATGATGGGGCACTATTCCTCCCACTGATACCAATGATGGGGCACTATTCCTCCCACTGATACCAATGATGGGGCACTATTCCCCCCACTGATACCAATGATGGGGCACTATTCCCCCCACTGATACCAATGAAGGGACACTATTCCTCCCACTGACACCAATGATGGGAAACTATTCCTCCCACTGACACCAATGATGGGACACTATTCCTCCCACTGACACCAATGATGGGGCACTATTCATCCCACTGACATCAGTGATGGGGCGCTAGTCCTCCCACTGCAAAATTACAGTTATGAAGTAGCAACAAAAATAATTTTATGGTTGGGGGTCACCACAACATGAGGAACTGTATTAAGGGGTCGCAGCATTAGAAAGGTTGAGAACCACTGATTTAGGAGTTTATTTTCCTGAAAATTTGCATTTGATGAATGGCTGAGCAAATATTGTGTGACATAATGGAGCAGCCGCCATTGCAACTGCCACCCTTTTAATTTACACAATCCACTTCCAGAAAATATATTATTCTGGGGGGTTTTAAGTAATTTTCTAGGAAAGAAAATGCTGATTTAGCATGCACAGTTGTGTTCAAAATAATAGCAGTGTGTTGAAAAAAGTGAATAAAGCTCAATAGCCTTCTAATAGCTCTTATTTCCATACACACAAATGCATTGAGAACACTACACATTCTATTCCAAAACAAAACATGAAGAAAAATATATCAAATTTGTGTTGTTCTTCTAAAAAAATTGAAGAAAAGTGAATATTAGACTGTTCAAAAAAATGGCAGTGTTTGTATTCTTCTTTACAAACTCAAACATTCACTATATAAACTGAAAAATGTTTGAAGATTTTGCTTTCCTTTGAATCACTTAATGAATATTTAGTTGTATAAGCACTGTTTCTGAGAACTGCTGTGTTGCATGGAGTCAACCAACATCTGGCACCTGTGAACAGGTATTCCAGCCCAGGATGATTGGACTACCTTCCATAGTTCTTCTCTATTTCTTGGTTTTGCCTCAGAAACTGCTTTTTGATGTCACCCCACAAGTTTTCTATTGGATTAAGATTCGGGGATTGGGCTGGCCACTCCATAACGTCAATCTTGTTGGTCTGGAACCAAGATGTTGCACGTTTACTGGTGTGTTTGGGGTCGTTGTCTTGTTGGAACACCCATTTCAAGGGCATTTCCTCTTCAGCATAAGGCAGCATGACCTCTTCAAGTATTCTGATGTATTCAAACTGATCCATGATCCCTGGTATGTGATAAATAGGCCCAACACCGTAGTATGAGAAACATCCCCATATCATGATGCTTGCGCAACCATGCTTCACTGTCTTCACAGTGTACTGTGGCTTGAATTCAGTGTTTGGGGGTCGTCGTCTGACAAACTGTCTCCGCCCACTAGACGCAAAAAGAACAATCTTACTTTCATCAGTCCACAAAATGTTGCGCCATCTCTCTTTAGGCCAGTCAATGTGCTCTTTGGCAAATTGTAACCCCTTCAGAACATGTCTTTTTTTCAACAGTGGGACTTTGCGGGGGCTTCTTGCAGATAGCTTGGCTTCACATAGGCGTCTTCTAATTGTAACAGTACTCACAGGTAATTTTAGACCTTCTTTGATCTTCCTGGAGCTGATTGTTGGCTGAGTCCTTGCCATTTTGGCTATTCTTCTATCCATTCGAATGGTAGTTTTTCGCTTTCTTCCACGTCTTTCAGGTTTTGGTTGCCATTTTAAAGCATTTGCGATCATTTTAGCTGAGCAGCCTATCATTTTCTGCACTTCTTTATATGTTTTCCCCTCTCCAATCAACTTTTTAATCAAGGTATGCTGTTCTTCTGAACAATGTCTGGAACTACCCATTTTCCTCAGATTTTCAGAGAGAAATGCACTGTAACCAGCATGTACAACATTTGCTGCCTTCCTTCCTTAAATAAGGGCAATAATTGCCACCTGTTTTTCAAAGAATGAATGACCTCACTAATAGAACTCCACACTGCTATTATTTTGAACATGCCCCTTTCAGTTAGTGATTCAATTACACAGAATCAGCAGCATGCATGTCATGACTGTTGGGTCTGTTCGATTTCTATTACTCTACTACACCTGCTAGTAAATTACTTGCCATGTAAAAAAATAATTTCTACCAGAAGCAGTGATTGATCAGGTTACTGACATCTGACTGCTATTATTTTGAACACAACTGTATGTGAAAAATGTCAAAACTGCCCCAGTAGGAAAGTGGTTAATGACATGTGTCTGATATATCACAGACTGAAGACATTGTTGGATAAAGTGCATGTTTGGGTTAGTTGAATAATGATCTATTTGATGTTGGATTGTGATGTGATTTTTAGATAGGAAAAGAGGTGTAAAATGCTACATATGAATCATTTGCTAAAAACCCTGTTATCTTTATTCATGGCATGTAAGCAATGCTGGTACAAGGTCTTCCAGTGCCCAGAGCATAGATGGTAAACTGCCCTCCCTCCTCCCCAGGTAGCATAGGGACAAAAGCATACCACACCAAAATATATGCAATGGTTGCTGTATATGCTAAAATAGTGGAGATGATTGTAGCATGCAGCAAATAGTTTAATAACTGTGCATATACTGTTAGCCCTATATTTTATTGTATGTTCATAGCTATTAAACTCTTTGCTGCAGTGTGCCACAATCATTGCCACTATTTTAGTGCATATAGCAACCATTGTATATATGTTGGTGTGGTGTGCTTCTCCCTCTATGCCACCTGTGACAATTTATTAGTCTGAGAAAGATGTCATTTGTGCCAATAGGATGAAGGAGGGGAGGGAATCTGGGAGGATTGGGTTGGGGGTATATGAAGTCCATTTCACTAAAGGCTCCTGTGTGTGGCTCTAGGAGAGGGAGGGGGCTGAAAGGCTCTGAGGTATGTAAGGCTCTTTGAATCTTTGAGAGGAGAGGGGAGCTCTGGGACTGAGCTGCTCCCCCAACCCTCCTTGTACTGCCAAACAGCTCAGAGCTTCTCAGTTGGTCCCCACCTGGGAATAAAAACATTTTCTTATTCTTATCTCTGGTCATTTCAGATGTCCCAAAGGGGGCCTGTTCTGAGAAGGACATCTATTTTCAGCATATAACCCTTCTCTCTTCTCAATTTCAGCCACAGCAGGCTGCTATTGGAAGGAGGAAACAGCAGACTTCCACCTCTAGTGGCTACCATGACCCCTGCTTTGCCTGACAGGAGTGACACTGCTATCACTCACTCCTGTCAATCAGACACCTGGAGAATGGATCTACAGCAAGATTGCAGACCACCTACCACATAATATCAGTGCTCCAGGGGCAGCTGCCACTCCTGCATGTTAGATGCTGGGTCCTGAATTATTGGATGAAATGGTGTAATGCCTGAACTGCAGTGTTGAATTACCATTTTTGGTTCCAGAAAGGAGCATTACAGTGGGTCATGTGATGGCAGAGTCAGATGTGTAAAAAATATATTGTTTTAAAATAAATTGGGGATGGGAGAAGAAAGACGTGGGGGGTGGGGGTACAACTTTTCCTGGGAGATAGGCTCTAAAACATATTAACTATATGTTGTATTCTAATTTTGTTCATCTATTGGAGAACTAGATATGCAATATTAATCATGGTAGCATATTGTACTACTGCTGGTAGTCTTAAATTTATAACATTGGCACTCAATATACTGCAATGTGATGGCACAATAGACATCATTTTATCCTTACCTACCCCTCCTGTCAATAGTGATGGCCGGTTATATGATTTTTTCTATTTTTTCTAGCTTTGTTACAAACTGATCACCATGCATTCCTATTTGAGGAACCTACATGTGTGTGGTTAAACATGCTGAGAGTCATGCATTCCAATAGCAATCTCTAATTCAGCGGAGAGACAGTTCAAAAGTTTATGGATTGTTTTTCACTCATGGGTTCCATGGGTTTCAGTGGGTTCCAGTGATCTATATTTGATTTACACTGTTTAAACAATAGATGGTTCACAGCATGGATAAAATGTATTTTGAAATTAAAGACTGAACTGTTTTTGGATCCATAACCAATTTACACATACTGTATTACCTATACTGGGACATATTTGGATCCCTGAAATTGGAGGATTGCAAGATCAGTTATACTTTTTTGTATAATACGCAAGTAGCCTTTGGAATTTGGCAGCCCATGTGCAATGAACTTTGAGGACATGATTAATGAATGACCTTCTCTCTCTACTAGGAAGATACTTACAATATATACTATATTGCCAAATGTACTGGGACACCCCTTCAAATAATTGGATTCAGGTGTTCCAATCAAGTAATTGATTATTGACTGCACAAACAAGACCTTCATCAACAACAAA